GGCGGCGGCCGCCGGGTGCGGGGCCGGGAGCGGCGGTTGGTCCCTCGCGCACGGAATTAACCCGTTTAAATCCCTTCGTGGTGTTTTTAAATACGGTTCAAAGTCAACGCACGTTCCCGCCTCTTACGATAATAAATATAAATGTATAAATAAAAAATACAATACAATAATAATAATAAAAAAATCATTCAGGGGGCATGCTTAATCATAGAATCATTTAGGTTGGAAAAGACCCTTGGGATCATCGCGTCCAACCATCTACCCTACCCTACAAAGTTCTCCCCTACACCATATCCCCCAACACCACATCTAGATGACTCTTAAACACATCCAGGGATGGTGACTCCACCACCTCCCTGGGCAGCCTATTCCAGTGTCTGACCACTCTCTCTGTGAAAAATTCCTTCCTAATGTTCAATCTAAACCTACCCTGTTGGAGCTTGAAGCCATTCCCTCTTGTTCTGTCACTAATTACCTGTGAGAAGAGACCAGCACCAACCTCTCTACAGTGTCCTTTCGAGTAGTTGTAGAGAGTGATGAGGTCTCCTCTCAGTCTCCTCTTCCTCACACTGAACAATCTCAGCTCCCTCAATCTCTCTTTGTTCTCCAGGCCCTTCACCAGCTTCGTTGCCCTCCTCTGCACCCACTCCAGCACCTCCATGAGGTGCCCCAAACTGGAGACAATACTCCAGGTGTGGCATGACAGTATTTGTAACTGATCCTTTTGTGTACCTACTTCTAATGCAAATTAATAGGTGTCTCAGTCCTTTCCTCAGACCACGATGCATGTCACAGGTCAGCAAACATCCCCGTGTTATGCGTTAGCCGGGACTGATAAAGTTATCAGCAATGTCCTCTTTTTAAGCTGTTAAACTGCAGTGGTATTACAGACCTAACAATATAAATCTAAACCATTAATCTTATTTCCGCCTTTATCTTTAAAGATTTCAGATTACAGTCCCACCTGGTTCAGAGGGAGGTGGCCCTGCCCAGGGCAGGGGGGTTGGAACTAGATGCTCTTTAAGATCACTTCCAACTTAAACCATTCTATGACTCTATGAATTAGCATATGCAAATATCTTTATGGAGGCCTTAATTTCTAAGCTTGCTGCTGAAAGGCAAGTTATGGAAACTACAAAGGTGAGCACAGATGCGCACGTTTACACCAATTAGCAGATTCAGGGAACGACTCCGGAGAGCTGAGGAAGCAGCAAGTCACCAAAGAGCTTCCTAGAAAATTGAACCTTGCAAGCCAAGAAATGTTAATAACCTTAGCATTTGCATTAAACATTATCATAATAGCCTTAATTAGTAGTAGGGACTGACTGTAGAAAAAAAAAAACAAACAACAAACTATACAAGTTGAACTCTTTTCCATGTGGACTATAGCAGCTGGAACTAGATGACCCCTAACTATGGGAGTTGGATCTAGATGATCTTTAAGGTCCTTTCCAACCCAAACCATTCTATGACTCTATGGAAGATAACCAGGCAATTATGCTAACCCATGTTACACTTGGCAGTGTGGTGTATCTGGTTCCCCTCATGTCTTACAGGAGCTTTCAGAGAGGTCTGAAGGTTTGCTATTGGTACATACTAACCTGGGGACGTGCATTAAGAAGCACACCACCACACAAACGGAAAAACCAAAGCCCCTGTGGTACAAGTCCAGGGATCCTCTGGCACAGAACGTTGACACGAGTGTCAGCCGACATGAGGTGGGAGGGAGAAAACACCACACAACTCAAAACATTTCCAAGCAGTATTTGTAGATCATGCGTATCTTTATCCAGCAGCATAAAATGTTGATTTCCCAAACAAAACTAGTCATAAAAAAAATATGTTTAGTCGCACAGGCTGCCCATGGGCTAAGGCGGATTTAGGCTGGTAGCCA